CCTGCAGCTCCTGAAGCGATGCCGTCAGCCGCTGGTTCTCAGCGCGCAGCTCGGAGACGAGGTCCACACCGTCGGGCTCCTTCTCCTTCTCCTTGTCCTCGGTCCCTGGGAGCGGCCCCCGCGCCCTCCGCAACAGTGTGCATTCCTCCTCCAGCCGGCTCACCTTCAGCTTGAGCTGGTCCACCTGGGGCCCAAGACATGGGTCAGCCAGAGAGGGACCCAGGACCCACCCAAGGTCACCAGGTATGTGGGGCAAAAGGTCCTGAGAGCCCCAGAGCGGCCTGCACAGGCGTCTTCCCTGACCTGTCTGTGAAGGGGGGCAGGCTGGGCAAGAACGGAGCCAATGGGGACAAGGAGAGAATGTGCAACAAGGCCAAGGCCACCACCCGGTCCGCTCTGAGGACGTGCAGGAGGCTAGGCTCATCTGCCCACGACTCCCACAGCGAGTACAGTCGGCCTGGCCAGCCCCAGAGTCCAGAGCTTAAGGGAACCAAATTTCACATGGCCAATAGCGGTTTGAATCCCAGGTCCAATGGCTTGGAAACAACCAGGCATGTGTGCGTGTGCCCAAAATCCCGACAGGAGGGAGGAATGGAGAAGGAACTGCAGCACAACTGCACCCCATACCCCCTGAGGGAGATGCTGTCTCTCTTTGACAAGTGCAGGTGCCCTGTGGCAATTAAAAAAAAAAAGAAGAAGAAGGAGAAGCAGGGTCTAGGCCCAGCTCTCTCTCAGTGTGGCCTTGGGCAAGTCACTGCCCCTCTCTTGTCCTAATCTCACCTATGACCAGAAGGGAAGAGGGGCAGCCTGGAGTGAGGATGGCCCACTCCAACCTTTCCTGCTCTACAGACTCTTATGGGACAGACAGGATCTGCCCCCTCCCTGGGGCCAGCCAGTGGCATAGCAGTTAGAGACGGTGGACCCCATATGGCTGACGGCATGGTACCAGTCCTGAACCCAGCAGTTAAAAATCCACGCCAGGCACATGTGTGTGCCAGAGACGAGAATGGCAGAGAAGGGATTGTGGTGTGGCCATCCGGGGGGCAATTTCTCACTTTCTGTCTCCCTTCCTCTCTCTCCTAGTGCGCATACCCTATGGCGAATTTTCAGAGAGAGAGAGAGGAAGGAAAGAAGAGAAAAACAAGCTAGCTTCTACCAGAGCCTCTCCTCCAGAAGACGAGGCTGTGGGTTCATCCCCCACAGAGCTCCAAGGCCAGGGTTCGGGTTTCGGTTTACCACCCTTACTCTCTGCCATCCTAAGCAAGTTGCTTACATCATCCGGGCCTCAGTTTCCTCATCCACCTTACGTCAATGTCAAGGCAGGGAAGTCTCTCTGGAATATGGACCTATGAGCGACAGAACCTGAACAAGGCCGACTGTGCCACTGACCCCCTGCTACTCGCTCCTACCGATGAGGCCAGTGGAGACAGAACCAGCTGTGGTGTGCGTATGATAGCGTGTGCGTGCTGTTCGGATCACAGCTGTCCACAGTTCTGAGCTCAAATGAGGAGGGGGGCATCTGAACAGAGGCCGATGACCCCGGTCCCAGCAGTTCACCAGGGACTCAGCAGCCAGGGAGTGCCACACTGACTTTGTCCCTTGCTTCATTCTTATGAGACGATCAAACTGGGGATGATTCTTAAATAAAGCATAAAGGGAAAAAAGGGGGGCCCAGCTGATCCTCTCACCCCACCACTTGTTCCCAAAGTCATCCTAAGAATCAAGCAAGACGGTGGGTGGCCAGCGGCCTTTCTACGGGCAGGCTGCAGAGCTGCCGCGGGCAGAACCACGGCTGTCTCCGCAGCTTACGGTGCAACCCCAGGATTCTCACTGCTCGGAGGCCGCGTGTGCAGCAGAGGCCGGCCCGGGGCTGAGTGCACACGCAGCGCCGGTTTTCTGGATCACAAGCACACTCAAGCGGGGTTCTCTTCCAAATTCTTGTGGACTCTAAGGTAGCCAGACAGTGACAAGAGCAGCAGCAGGTGGCAGGCCATAAACGAAGTCATTGTTGGGAAAAGGTCAGGATGGCCTTCGTGGTCACACTCTGGCATCGGGTGCCCTAGGAGTGCCCTGGCTTCTCTTAGAAAACTCTCACTGATCCCCCAGCCCTGGGAGCCTGGAATGACACCTGCACTTGCACACACACACGCACACGCACACGCACACGCACACACACACAGGTCTGGAGGATGGGTCAGGCAGTTCCACAAATTAATCGTCCACTCCTCCACAAAGGACTTGGGAAGAAATTCATGACTCCGCATTCCTTTCCACTCACAAAACATGCTTTGTGAGCGGCTGGAGAAAGATGGCTGGTTCCGAGGGCAAGGGTGGTCACACCCTCTCAGCAAACCACAGCCACACAGCCCTGACCTGCGGCCAGCTGGCCTCTGCGCTGAGCTCAGAGGACGGGACACCTGAGTCTGCCGAGCGCCAGGAAACACGGATGCACTGAACCCTGGTGCACAGACTTCACTTAGCACAAAATTACAGCGTTCGTGCCTTAAGTTTATGTTGCTTAGAAATAACAGCTCATTAAATTTGCACCTTATAAAATACGGTCTTAAATTACAGCCACCACACACCTGTCCATGGGAGGAGGGGCCCCAAGCTGCCAAGCCAGGCACCTCAGCTGTTCTGTTCATACCCATCTGCAGAAAAGCTCTAAAAAGGCAAGGTAAATTTACCATACTGACGTTAAAGTCATTTAATGTCACCCTTTACGGTCACCCCCTCAACTGGGGAAAAGCCCAGTGGCAGATGGCCTTACCCCCAGGTGGCCACTTCACACACCTGCAGCTGATCTGCAGACATGGAGGCACCTCCAGCGCCTCTTCTCCCTCTCTCCCCGCCAATCCCAGCAGCCCCCAGGTAACCCACACACAAAAATGACATCCTCTAGTCACAAGTGCACACCTGCCACTTGAGGGGGCCCAACCCAAAGGAGAAACAAACAGTGCAGCCTGCACCCTACAGACCCCAACAGTGGCCATCATGCCATCCTCTCCAGGCAGCAGGCTCCTCCCTCCAAGGAACTTCACGGCAAGCCCTGGGTCTGTTTCTGAAATTGAGGCGCCCCTGGGGCCTGCAGTTAGCATAATGGCTATGTTGCTGGACTCGGTAGTCGACAGCAGTTCGAGTCCCGAACCGGTGGCTTAAACTCATGCCGGGCGCGTGTGTGTGCGTGCCCAAGATCCCGAGAGGAGAATGGAGGAGAAGGGATTGCAGCATGGCCATCCCCCCCTGGGGGGTGATTTCTCTCTTTCTATCTCTCTGTCTCTCTCTTTCTGGTGAGCTCATGTGCCCTATAGCAAAAACCTCTCAAAAAACAAACAACAAAAAAAAAAGAGAAATTGAGGAGCCCTGGGCCAGCCTGTGGCCTGGTAGTAAAGGCAGCTGAAGCCACGCGGCCAACTGTGTGATTCAAGTTCTGGACCCACTGGCTTGAAAAATATGCCAGAAGGGCCGGCAGGTAATGTGGTGGTTAAGGCAGCTGACCATGGCTGACCATGGTTCAAGTCCCGGACCTGGCAGCTTGCTTTCTCACTTTCCTTCTCTCTCTCTCTGGTCAACTTCAAAAAAAATTCCAATAAAATAAAATAAAACAAAACCAATGAATAAAATTAAATAATTTTTAAAAAAAGAAAAGCATGCCAGGTGCATATGAGTGCATGTGTGTGTTCAAACGTGCAAATTTCTGAAAGGAGACTAGAGGAGGCAGGACTGTAACAAGGCCATCCCCTTGGGGGGTGTTTTTTTTTCTTTTTCTTTCTTTTTTTTTTTTTTTTGTTGCACATACATATAATATCCCTGGAAGATTAAACAAGAAACAGATCACAGTAACTGCCTCTAGTGGAGACAACTAAGTGGCTAGGAACAGGGCAGCAAAGAGATCTTCTGCTGTACAGCCTTTTAGAGCTTTTCAACTTCTAATACTGTGCCCTTGGGGGGTGTTTTTTCCGTTTTGTACTCTCACCCTATCTCCCCCAGCAAGCACACGTGCCCTATAATAAAATGGGAAAAAAAGGAAAAGCGGAGCCCCTCTGGCCAAAGAGCGGAGGCCCCACTCTCTCCCCTGCCACCGCCTCCCTTCAGCAGAGCTGACAGCAGTCTGAAAGTCTTAGTCGGGGGATGCTGGGCAAGTGCTCGAACCAAGCTCTCTGGCCTGTCTCCTCCCCCAGCAATGGGGAAGGAGGCAGTGTCCACCCGGCACAGGAGGGAGAAAGGAGTTTGCGCATGGCACTCCGTACCATGCCTGGAGCACAGGGAGGCTTTATCATCGTCGCATCACCCATCCGTGACCTTCCGCCTTGAGAAGGAGGAAACTAAGGCACAGAAGGGACACCCCCCACCCCACCCCCCAACCCCCGTGCCACACAGGTCATTCCTGGCAGACCGGGCCTGGGACCTACATCTCTGGCCTTGCCCACGCCCCTCAGAAAGCCTCTACTTCATGTCAGACACCAAGTCTCCGACACCAAGTGACCCCGGCAACAGCTCCGTGGCCACCTCACAACCAAGAACCAGCCACCTACACCCTCAAGCAGAACCAGTGGCCTGCACTCTTCAGTTTGTCACCTGCTCAAGACACTGCCCTGCCCGCCGTGCCCAACCTCAGCACCGCACAGCAGTGCCCCCACGCCTACAGCCTCACACGTGCCAGCCCACCTCCCCCTCCACTGCTGCAGCCAGGGCGTGAGGCCCGTGGGTGGGCACACTCCACTGTCAGAGCCACGGAACCTCGCGCGGTCTAACTGGAGAGAACCTCCCGGGCACCACAGGCGCGGTAAGCCCTGACGTGGATTAGCTCATTAAATCCTAATCCTCGGGACGACTCCCTGCAGCAATCAAATGCGGCATTATCCCTGCGCTAAGTCCCCACGAGAAACTGAGGAATGAGGCTCACTTTCTCGGTTTCTGGGCCGCGGTCAGAGGATTAAGTGAGATCTCACCAGACAGAAGACAGAAAGAGCAGCATTATGGGAAGGAGGCCAGGGCAGTGCCAGGTGGACCCAGTTCAAACCCGGGCTGTGCCACTTCCTGGCTTTGTAACCTCAAGCAAGTCCCTTCGCCAACCTGGGCCTCAGCATCTAGATTGCAAAACAAGACTCTGACAGAGGGTCTTCAGTGAGGATTACGTGGGGGTGCGATGTGGGCTGCTGGCGGCATGGTGGTTAAGGCAGATGGCTCCCACAGGCCAACTGCACGGTTCCAGTCCTAGACTAAGCAGCTTCAGAGACACACCAGGAGCATGTGCAGGCCTGCCCAAAATCCAAGGGGAGAAACGGAGGAGAGGGGATTGTGGCATGGCCATTTCCGCCGGGAGGGTACTTTCTCACTCCTCCCCAACCCCCACAGTGAGCACCAGCACCCTACAGCAAATTAAAAAAATAATAATAAATAAATAAACAGATGGCGTGATGCATGGAGCCTATCTGGCACACGGACAGCACTTGACCGTGACAACATCAACCACTGGCAAACATGAAACATTCTTTTTCTTGAGAGATTTTTGCTATAGGGCGCATGCACTCACCAGAAAGACAGAGAGAGACATAGAGACAGAAAGCGAGAAATCACCCCCAGGGGGGATGGCCGCACTATAATCCCTTCTCCATTCTCCTCTCGAGATCTTGGGCACGCACGCACACGAGCCTGGTGTGAGTTTAAGCCACCAGGTCCGGGACTCGAACCGCAGTTGACTACATGGGAGTCCAGTGACATAGCCATTATGCTAACTGCTGGTCCCAATGATGATACATTCTGAGGCTTGACTATGTCAGGCACTATATATCTCTGGAATTCAGTCACCCTTTTTTTAGTTCTTTTTTCGATTTATTGATTTACTTCTTTCATGAGCAAGAGACAGGAGACCAGCACCCTCAATAGGATCTTAATGCTGCAATCCACCCCAGCCTCCGGAAGCCCCAGATCACAGACACACATGTACACAGCACACTGAGGGAGGGCTCCACATGAGAACCCAAAGCCCTTCCACAGGGTCAGCCTGACAGAGCATGCCTTACTGCTGCACCACTACCGGGCCCTGACTCTGTATGGAGTTCGCCGACTCCCCTGCACCCAAGGTTTCCCCACCTTGGTGCTGTGGAACCTGGGGCTAGACGAACCCTGCTGGGGGCTGTCCTGTGTGCACTAGGATGCTCAGCTGCACCCTGACCTCTGCACACTGGATGCCAATGACACCCCCCAATGTGACAACCAGAAATGTTCCCGGACGCAGCCAAATGGGGGAGGGCAAAACCGCCCCCACTGAGAACCACACCTTGTCACCAAGGAAGTCGAGTGCACAGGGCAGTGAAAGGACATGCCCAACCGTGGCGGATGGCGGCCCCAAGCTCATGCTACCATGAGTTTGCAGAAGGTGCCCCTTCCCCACCCTACCCTTTCCACGTCCCCAGGACCTACCGCCAGCTGCAGGTCCCTGCTGCGCAGCACAGCCGAGTTCTTCTCCTCACTGAGCTGTGCCAGGCGCATGGCGATCATGTAGTTCTCGTCCTTGAGCCGCAGCAGCTCCAGGCTGCCCGCCTCCCAGTCCTCCCGCAGCCGCTGGCAGCGCTCCTGTGCCTGCTGCTGTTCCCGCAGCCGCTGCTCCAGGCCTGCCCGCTCCTCCTCCAGCACCCGGCCCCGAGCCTGCAGTTGCTGCTCCCGCTGCAGCTGACTCTTGCGAGCCTCCCGCCCCCGCCGCACCTCCGTCATCAGGAACTGGGTCAGACCCTCAGGCCCCTCCTCGTCTGCCAGGATGGGGAGAGAAAAGGCAGGTCAG